TGCTTAGCACTGTTGCCTCCAGTGTGGTCTTTTTCAACAAAGAAGTGTTTGTGGTGAAATATAAATGCTAACAGTCAACTCAGAATCATGAACAAACCCTGATTTGAACGCTCATAAGTTACTTAAGACCTGATTTTTTAAATAAACGATTTTTCGTCAATCATTTATCGGTACCCTAACTTGAGCAGGTGTTTTTCAGGGTTTCCCACAGGAGTTGAACTTCTACATTTTAAAGCATGTTGTTACACACCTTTACAAACATATTGGTGAAGAAATTGTTTGGTAACGATTTAGTTGCCAGATTTTGATATTTTTCCCTTACTATTACGAATTTTGAACTGAGAGCCCAACAATCCAGAGTTGACTTTGGATTCCCTATGAGCAAGCAGACAGCATCTGTGGAAAGCAGGGTAGCAAATGGAGAGCAAGGAATACAAACAAAGCAACAAACATTTTGGAGGTCAGTGAGACCAGCAGCTGCAGATCAGAAATGTGAAGCGCCAGATGTTGTAATTGATTGTACTCTACTGACTGTAAAATATGCCTTGCAGAACACCTAGTGAGAGAGAGCAAGTGTACGATGTTGTTAATATTTGATGAAGTCTCAACTGAAGACAGCTGTGAGAGAGGTTTAGCTGTTGTGTGATGTTTCTGCATTATTTTCTCTGAATAGGCTCCAATACTATCAGCATCCAAAGAACAGCTACCACTGAGCAACTGTTTGTATGCAAGTGCTTGTCTGATGAAACATGCACCCCAGTCCTGTGCCATACTGATAAAAGCTCCTACGTATACTAAAACACCACAACAGCAAAAAATGAAACATGCAAGCTTCCTTGTATTTTGTATTTGCTTGTTGATCCACATAAAGCAGTGGATCTGAAACTTTAAAGAGCTTGCATTATTTGTGGCAGAGGTTATTCTATAGAGAACAAATCAAGATTACATATATTAGCATTTGCACCTAGACCTGGCATTTTGATGAACTGATATCTGTTTGTGTATTTCTACCAATGTTTCTATATAGGTCAAAGGGTAACTTACTCTAATGGATTTTTTAAAACACATTATTTTATCACATCATTTATCACCACAACACATGCTGTACATGACTCTTTCTTTATCATAGCTCTTTAACAGTACTTCAATACAATCTACAATCTTACCAAAACTATCACAAGAGCCGTATATGCTGTAACTAATCAACTGAGGAACACCCGTTGCTAAAGATAGTGTGATGCTATTTAAATGTTTTTTTCAAGAAGTCAGCTCAATATTTTCTCCCTTAAGCCGGAAATCACTTCCAAAACAGTTCTTGCATTTGAAATATCCGTTGCAGAGTTACTCTGAAATATAACTTTTTTTATTCAAACAACCAAAATCACAATTAATTTCAGGTGAGGAATAGGCAATGCCATTGCTGAAATCTATAACAATTAATTTAAATGATTGTGCATAAGGTTTCTGAGTTTAAGAGGTGAGCCACCTTATCACAGATTGGTATGTTGCACATGTGATGATCAGTTCTCTTCTACTCTAGACTTCCAGAATTCAGGAGTGAAAACTAAGCCTGTGAGGTGTTGTCCAGTTTGGAAAGGTCACTTCCCATGTCTATATTTCAGTAACCTTTGAGAGTTCTGGAAAAGCTGAATTGATTTGACAAAAGGATGATAATGATCTGGTACATGCAGCACTCGTAATCCACATACACATGTCACATTGGGAATTACCTTTTATTTGTCAAGGGCAGGTTGAGTTGTTTACAGAATGCATAGGTATCCACCTATGCTGTTATACGTCAGTAACTCAGCCACAGCTTGTGAGGTTTGTCCCTTGCTCCATGGCAAGTTGCTGTTTCTTTGAAGCTGGTGTTATTCTGGTCCTGTCTCCTCACAGCAGATGACATGGAAGCCCTTCCAGTCAAGCAGTTCATCAAACATGTTTCTGAGCTCCACTCAAATAACCAACACGGATTCTCTGAAGATTTTGAGGTAAGTTATGTGAGGAATTCTCAAACCAGTCATAGTTTGTTTTTACTGGCCTCTTAGGGGCAGGAGAAAGAAGTTGTGAACACAGCACTGACATATCACCACCATTTAGATCGAACCTTGTTTTGAATGTCAGTCCAACATTCACTCTCAATTTGGTTTTTTTTTTACCACTCCTGAGAAAACAATGTTTCTTTAGCTGCAAATAACACCCCAGTGTGTACCAGCTAGTTTCCAACATTGTGACTGCTGTTTACTGCTGACCAGACAGTGTGCAGTGGCCTTTTTGAGTTTTTCTTTAAATAAATGAATAAATGAATGAATGAAATCCAACTGCCTGATGCATGAAAGAAAGGTGAGAACGAACAAAACAGTTAACAGCTCAGTTATCACATTGGCATTTAATACACTGATAGTGAAAAGGCATTGACGAACCCTACCTTAAGTGCTAAGAACCCTAAGTGGAGCTGTTTTTTGTTTGTTTGTTTGTTTTGTCTTTTCCCATAACTAATATACAAAACAGCCAATAGTGTATATACAGCTCAGTTCAAGTCCGTTTTATTTAAATAGCGCTACTATATAACATATCATTATCATTCCATAGCACTTCACATAGTAAGGTGATGACCTTACAAATTTCAAACAGAAAAACTCACCAATTTCAAAGTTTCTCTTGAAATCCCTTTGAGCAAGCACTCTGCAGCAGTGGCAAGGACAGAACCAGGATGTAGAGTGACAAGTTACCACTACAGCTATAACTAATATATTTATAGTATATGCTCAAATAGAGCTAGTCACTCAAATATTTTTTACAATAATTTTAATGATGAGTTTCACTTTGTATTTAATTTCACAGAGGAGGCAAATGTTGACCCTTAATATTAAAAGCAATGTTTGTTAAGAGATAATGAAGACTAAAAGGCTGCATACTCATGCATGTTCACTGAGAAAATGAAAGGGAAGTCTCAGTAATGGGCAATTTAGTTAAAACCAGGGTGTGCTCCATGACACCAGCATCTACTGTGAACATATCGTGCTCCTCAGTCTCTATCATCTTCATTCTTCCTGCTTTTCCTCCAACTTCTCTGCATTCCTGGTCCACTCTCTTCCTAGAAAGTGTGTTGGAAAGGACAGGACCTCCTGACTTAATGGCAAAAACCAAGATTGTCTGACACTCCCATTGTGTCCTCTCCCACTTTACCCTATGGCCTTGTTTAGAGTTAATGGACACTGGGAAGTGCTGTATGAATGGAGCCCCTTCTGAAATTAAATTATCCTCATCTCACATGCCATTTTTTTTGTGCTTTGATCAAGTGGAGTTTGAGAGGCCAGGGGCATCACTATTTAACCTCACTTTCAATACAAAGGCATTGCTGTCACCAAGTCAAATAAACAAAAGAAGCATAACTGCAAAAGCAAACAGAATCCAAGGACATAGATTAAGACCTGATAGGGTTAAGGCACCCATATTGTAAAGATATCAAGAAAATCCTGGATAAAATCAAAGCTATTTTGTTCCACAGTGTGGCAGCTGAAAAAGAATAATTTTTGTTTGTTCCATTTGATGAATCTTTGTGACAAAATACACAGATAAAATATAAATCTAATTGTAGGAATTTAAAGGTATGTAGAGGTTTAAATTGAACTCTAAGACAGAATACCAGAATAACACTGGATCTGGCACTGGTAATGTGAAAGATTTAGATGTTTGTATCAGAAATTGTACAGTGATGTCACAGCTAAGCTGTGGGTCATTTCTGAGGTTATTTAACCATCGTTTCTCCTGTAATAAGTTTAAATACATCAGTCAATTATAACTGAGCATACAATCAAATAGTCCATGCAGTCATTGTGCTGCAACTATTTATGAAAGGCTTAATAGCTTGATGTGAAAGGATTATATGTGTAACATCTTATTATTAGTTATATGAGTATATGACCAATAATTAAGCCATTTTTTGTAAACAAATATGTTGCGACCAGACACTCATGGACTCAAAATAGCAATGATTGAACAGGCATCAATAAGGGCTTCAAATAAGTCTAAAGTAATTGACTACCTTGTTATTTGTTCCAAAAATGAAATGCAGTTTTGCTGCCTTTTCATCTTAAGTAGTTACATACAGACAAGAGAAAACAATTGTTTCATTCACTGTGCTACGTTCACGTTTATGGTGAAATGTTTTCTTGCATGTTGTTAAATGCATTGATGTCATGGATCAATCACTACACCTTATATGTCAACACAACAGCCCAAACCATTTGTTTTTAATGGCTTTCTTGCTTGACATACTCTTTATAGATGATTGGATTTTCCAGCACTTGACAAAAATGTGTACCAATTTTAACTAGATTATGTGAATTGCAAATATTCTATTTCCTCACTTGGAGAAAAAAGTGGCATCACTCTGGTGTGCTCCAGCAGCATGATACGTAAGGATCTGGCACTGTTACAGGGCACAAATTCTGCTGTTACATCACTGTATCAGTCAGTACTTTTTATTGCGGTCTCAAACCCACTTTCTTTGCTTTGAACATTCTGAAAATTCATGCAAATTAACAAGGCTAGTGGTTGTGCTTTAACTTCAACTGCTTTCAGTTCTTTTGTCAATCATAGTTTCAGCTTTAACATAAGAACTGGTAATTTACCTATTTACACAACTTAACTTTGGAATTACGTTTCAGATATTTTCAGCAACTCGAAGCATTTGAATGCTTCAATGTCAACTGATGCTGCAACTACATCAAGTGCAACACAACATTGTGTGTACATTTATATTTGAACTAATATGAAGCTTCTCTGTCAAGTCTGTCTTTTGCTTGTGTTGTGCCAGTATGGGAATTCAATTCAATTCATTTTTATTTATATAGTGCAGTTCAGGGTTTCAGGGAGGCTCAGTGGTTAACACCGTCACCTTGCAGCTAGAAGGTCGCTGGTTCGCGTCCCGGTGAGGACACCCTTTCTGTGTGGAGTTTGCACATTCTCCCTGTGCAGTGTGGGTTCTCTCCAGGTTCTCCGGCTTCCTCCCACAAGGTCCAAAAACATATTGAGGTTAATTGGTGATTCGAAATTGTCCGTACATGTGAATGTGAGTGTGCTTGGTGGTCTACGATAGACTGGTGACCTGTCCAGAGTGTCCCCGCCTTCGCCCTAAGTCAGCTGGGATAGACTCCAGCCCTCCCAACCCTACTGAGGATTAAGCGGTGTATAGATAATGGATGGATGGATGGATAGCGTAGTTCACAACATGTGTCATCTCACAGCGCTTAACATACACTGAACAAAAATATAAATGCAACACTTTTGTTTTTACTCACATTTTTCAAGAGCTGAACTTAATGATCTGAGACTTTTTCTATGTACACAAAAAGCCTATTTCACTATATGTTGGTGAGCAGTTCTCCTTTGCTGAGATAATCCATCCACCTCACAGGTGTGGCATATCAAGATGCTGATTAGACAGCATGATTTTTGCACAGGTGTGCCTTAGGCTAGCCACAATAAAAGGTCACTGTAGGGCCACCACTGTAGCTCAACTGGTTGAGCTGGCGACCCATGTACTGGGGCTATAGTGGCCGTGGGTTTGAATCCAGCCTATGGCCATTTGCTGCAGGTCCCTCCCCCATCCTTCTCCCCACTTTCCTCTCTCTCTCTCTCTCTCTCTACTGTCCTGTCAAATAAAGGCAAAAAGGCCAAAAAAACAACTTTAAAAAAAAGCAAATGTGAAGTTTTACTGTATTGGGGGGTCAGAAAACCAGTCAATATCTGGTGTGGGCACCATTTGCCTAATGCAGTGCAGCACATCTCCTTTGCATAGAGTTGATCAGGTTGCTGATTGTGGCCTGCGGAATGTTGGTCCACTCCTCTTCAATGGCTGTGAGAAGTTCCTGGATATTGGCAGGAACTGAAACACGCTATGGTATACACCGATCCAGAGCATCCCAGACATGCTCAGTGGGTAACATGTGCGCTGAATATGCTGGCCATGCAAGAACTGCGATGTTTTCAGCTTCCAGGAATTGTGTACAGATCCCTGCAACTGTGCATTATCATGCTGCAACATGAGGTGATGGTCGTGGATGAATGGCACAACAACGGGCCTCAGGATCTCATCACGTTATCTCTGTGCATTCAAAATGCCATCAATAAAATGCACCTGGGTTTGTTGTCCATAACATATGCCTGCCCATACCATAACCCCACCGCCACCGTGGGCCACTCGATTCACAATGTTGACATCAGCAAACCGCTCATGCACCTTTTGACAGTTTGTACAGAAATGCTTTGGTTATGCAAAACTATTGTTGCAGCAGCTGTCCGAGTGGCTGGTCTCAGATGATGCTGAAGGTAAAGATGCTGGGCTGGTGTGGTTACACGTGGTCTGCGGTTGTGAGGCCGGTTGGATGTACTGCCAAATTCTCTGAAACGCCTTTGGGAAGTGTTTTTTATTGAGTAGCGGTGATGAAAAGGTGATGAAGAAATTCTACAACCTTGTTGGTATATAAAACGGTTTATTGAAACAAGCACAGTGTCTCAGACACTATGGTTTGCCTGTGAGAGGAAGCCAAAAAGAATCACCCTCCAGAATAAACCTAACTACTACTACTATAGGGGCTGTTTGCGTAAAGCTAAGACAGAACATATGATTCATAACCATAGAGGGAGATCATTCTCTAAACAGAGAAGCGCATTTCCGGCAGCACCTAAACCTTTGAGCGGGACCACTAACTAAACATGTCAAACCCATGAGTTGGAACATCAGATACCAGAGACGGCTTATGAGAGAGAAATGAGCATTCAGTTCATGGGCAACAGCTCTGGTGGACGTTCCTGCAGTCAGCATTGCCAATTGCACACTCCCTCAAAACTTGCGATCTCTGTGGCATTGTGCTGTTTGATAAAACTGCACATTTTAGAGTGACCTTTTATTTTGGCCATCCGAAGGCACACCTGTGCAATAATCATGCTGTTAAATCAGCATCTTGATATGCCACACCTGTGAGGTGGATGGATTATCTTGCCAAAGGAGAAGTGCTCACTAACACAGATTTAGATAAATTTGTGAACAATATTTGAGAGAAATAGGCCTTTTGTGTCCAGAGAAAAAGTCTGATTTATAACAAAGTTTTGGTCTCTGGTTGATTAATAAGTTTGAGTGGAAGATTGCTGCCACTCTTCCTCCTACTTCCTCCTCCATTATTCATTTTTTTTTAAAAATCCCTCAGCTCATATCGTCTGTGTGTGGCTTTAACAACACCAAGATGAATAAAACAAAACATTACTGGAAAGACCACATGGCCCAATAGGAAAATCGGATCAAAAGATTGAGAGTTCAAGTCCCTTAAGAGATGTATTTGGTCATGGGTTTTATCGCCATACTTGCCAGATTTTCATGGAAAAGTTAGACTTAACTAGGACAAGTCAAAAAACTTATAATAAACTGAAAATAAAAGTCAGTAACTTTACTTTGTCCCCCGGTGAAAAGTGCTGGCTAACTTTAATTGTATGTTACGACTTGCATCATCTGACATACGCAATTCACAATGAACAGTCAAAACAAGCTTCTCTCTCATTTCCTTGTTTATCAAAGTGACATGCCTCACCCACATGATTGGTTGACTTATTCAGTGCAACGATGATGGTACCAGCACCTCTCTGAAAGTTCAGAGATTATCAACTAAAAGTGCTCCACAAGAAAATGTGGAATGCTCCAAAAAGAGATGCAGAGTGCAGTGCTTTTCTCTCTAGGCGAATGCATCCGTTCTCACCTTGCTGGAAACAATTGTATGTAAAACTTAAAAGTATTGTACGTATACTGTTCAAATTTCTATATTAACTGGTTTGTTCCAACTTTTGCCAGTATCATTAAACTTAGTTTGCACACCCAGTTTTGTTAGGGTGTTGAGAAACCATGCACAAAAGGTGTTTCATCAGTTCATCAGTTGCATGTTTATCGTTTAAATCAGAGTCATGGGAACAGTACTGGCTGCTATCACAGTGTAACTACTTTTGAAATAATTTTGGATAAAATGCAATTCAAGGTGGCGCAGTTGGTTAGCACTGTTGCCTCGCAGCAAGAAAGTCGCCGGTTCATGTCCTGGTGGGGGCACTGGGATCTTTCTGCGTGGAGTTTGCATGTTCTCCCCGTGGAGCGTGGGTTCTCTCCGGGTTCTCCGGCTTCCTCCCACACAGTCCAAAAACATGTTGAGGTTAACTGGTGATTCTAAATTGTCCGAAGGTGTGAATGTGAGTGTGCTTGGTTGTCTGTCTCTAAGTGTAGCCCTGTGATAGACTGGTGACCTGTCCAGGGTGTCTCCTGCCTTCACCCTAAGTCAGCTGAGATAGACTCCAGCCGCCCCCCCTCCCCACACGACCCTAGTGAGGACTAAGTGGTGTATAGATAATGGATGGGTAAAATGCAAATCAAATCCAATTTGAAAAACTGGAGAGATGCTGTATGTTGTCGATATTGAGTGTTTTTTAAGATGTGTCACCCCAGTGCTCTGTGCTGCAATAATTGTGGATGAGCAACAATTGCATTTTGTAGACATGTACATAATAATAGCTGCTATCAATATTAGCATTAATAGCAGTTTTCTTGCAACAAAGACTTTACTCTCTGCATTTGCAAAACAAAGCTTTCTTGGCGGTGTCTTTTTATCATGAAAGAGTAAGACCTTATCAACCCACTTTAGACTGCATTTTCCTTTCATTTTTGACCCATCTGTGCACACTTTCATACCAGTCCTAGCAATGACAAAGGTGCATTTCAACAGGTTTTCGAGCAGGATCATGAAGTCAGGTTGTGTAATATATGGCGGCCACCATTATACCACTATACTAGTCTGAGACAGCTGAACAAAACAGCATATTTACCTCAATAAACTGTAGGCTAGGGCCTAAGTTATGGTAACTCATTATTACAGAATAAGACAATCGATATTACACCATTCTTCATGTTCTATGACAGTAACAGTGGGATATGTTGTTGTTCATGAATACGTGTGTGTAAATATCAGTGCCTTGCATGTGGCTGAATTTAAGTGTCTGCACATGTGTATATGTGTGTCAGTTTGTGTAACCATATGTTGATCACTTACAGCTATGTGACATCTCCTGTCAAATCCTGTCTCTCACAGTCATACCTGCAACCTGATCTGAATCTCACCATGAAGCAGACTACTACCAAAATAAATCCCTATTCCAATTACTATGAGGTATCCATGTTTAAAAGTGCTAAAACAAGGCAGTTGGTCTGTAAAGCTCTACAGTGAATGAGACAGAAGGGTCAGAGCCAAATTCAGCCCTGTTGGCAGTGCTGAGCTAGCAGCCAGCACCTGTTTGCTTGGCAGGACGTTGACATTAAACACTGACATACATTCACAGGCAGCTAATCCCTGAATTGCTCTTGCTCCCGCTCATGTTTGAGACTGCAGGCATTTTTAGTTATATATATATACATATAAAAATTCCTCTTCTCTCTCCCCTTAGGGGAGAGGTTTTTCCCTTCAAGCTCAGGTCCCCTACCAGAGGCCTGGAAGTTTGAGGGTTCTGTGCAGTATCTTTGCTGTTCCTAATACTGCGCTCTTCTGGACAAAGATTTCAGATGTTGTTCATGAAATCTTTTGGAGCTACTCCCCCAGTCTGTGGTAACTGCTCCCACTATTCTGATCACCACTGGCACCACTGTTACCTTTACTCCCGACATCTTTTTGAGTTTCCCTTTAGCCCTTGGTACTTCTCTAGCTTCTCATTGTCTTTCTTTCTGAGAAAGAACCAGCCATGATCAGTGCTTCTATCCTGTCCTTTAGTTCAGCCCTTTCTAGCCACTGGTAGGATTTCCTGATATGTGCAACTTCCTCTATCTGGTGGTGGGACATGCAGTGGAGGGGCTTGTCTCGCCATGATGGTTGGGTCTCCTCTTCTGCATTACTAGGTCTCTGTCGCCTGAGGTACTTACTCAGCAGCTCATCCTTGGGGGCCATCTCCTTTTATTTATTTGGCAAATAACAACTGACACAACTAAACAGTCCTTTTTCACACATAACCAAAAGACTTAATTTTTTTGTTTGGCTTCCTTTGGCCTTGATAACCGCTTACGTGCTTGCTGGCATTGTTTTTATGTGCTTTTCGACAGTCTCTTTGTTCCTGAGGTCCAAATAGTTTACTTACTTGAGATTAAACTTTTGTGTGAATAATCTTTGAATGTACTACATCCCAAACATTTCCACAAATGGAATCCCATTCCATAATGGAATCTCCATCATGTTTCACTGAGCGTGCAATGCATCTGGCATCAAAACGTTCTCCAGGTTTTCTGCGAACATAAACACGAAGATGCTGACCAAAGTGTCCTGGATGTTTGCAGCCTTTCTTCCCTTTAAGCTTCGTTCCATCAATCGTCTGCTTATGATCTGATCTAGAAGCGTTCATCTCTGCCTGAAGATCAGCAGTGGTCTTCCTTCTGTCTCTGGTACTTAAAATCTTGAGGTGTCTGACATCTGCCTCAGTTAACTTTCATTTCCTGCCTCTTCCTTGGTGCATTTTGTAAGTACCAGTCTCTGCAATTGATGCCAAGGCGTACTTGACCACATTGTGAGAACACTTCATGTCGTTCCCTGTTTGTCTCAGAGACCATCCAGCACCATGAAGTGTAGTTTAATGTGGACTCTTTCATTTTCAGTCAGCTCTTGACGTTTTACCATTTTAAACAGAAATGAGGAATTTCAAATTAAATTCACCTTTTTATACTCAAATTTGAGCGTCTCTGAGAAGTTGGGAATGAATCAAGCATAACATTCAAACATGAAAACGAATTTTTCTGTTCAGGAATGCAAGTGAATAACTTTAATTTGAAACCTTAATCAAGAAATGATAATGTTTTTTTTTTTACTATTTTTTCAGTTTTATGTGGAATTTTTTAAACAGTAAATTTAAAAATTAATGGATAACAGTAATTATATTGTAGCATTAAAAATACAATTTCAGGGGCGCCATTATAGCTCACCTGGTAGAGCTGGTGTCCCATGTGCAGGGCTACAGTCCCATTGTGGAGGTCATGAGTTTGAATCCCGCTCATGAACCTTTCATAAAAGGCCTCCCCCCATTCTTCTTCCCTACTTTCCTGTCTCTCTCTCACAGCACTATCCAATAAAAAAAGGCACAAAGGCCAAATATCAATTAAAGAGCTTCTACGTACTGGTGTATTAACCATAACAGAAACATAAAAAATGATTTTGGTAATGACCAATGCTGTTAATTTAGGGCAGCTATGGCTATGAAATGGTAACTTATTAGAAAGAATCTTAGACCGAAAAGCAAAATGTGCCATGAAAAGTATTTTTACAAAACCTACTGTGCCTTTTTCCAGCGTTATAAAAAAGCTGTCAAATGCTATATTCATACAATGTTAAAATAAATGCATATGGATTACAGGACTGAAAGTCTGTTGTCAGAGGCTATAAAAGCTGCATTCTTCACTACAAATCAAAATACAGAAGTGTCAGTAAGGGAAGGCCATGGATTCATTAAAGTCAAAAGAACTTACTGTCTTCAGGGCATGAAAATGTCCAACAATTTCTATGGGAGTCTGGCATTACATAAATATCTTGTGTATTTAGTTGGCATTTGATCTGTGCATGGTGCTACAACATAGTTTTTAGCATCCAAAAAGAGAAAGATTCATTCTTTGAGCATGGTGCATAAAGCCAATTTCATACCAATTTTTCTGTGGAATTTAGATATTTAATTCCCCAATAAAATTTTTGCTGTGATGGTGGTGCTTGACAAAAGCTAAAGATCACCAAAAACATCAAGGTTCTTAGGCACTACAAACAGTCACAGTACATTTTCTAGACATATACCATCTTTTCTGATGAAGTTACCTTGCCATGCAACAATCTGTACACACCTCAGAATTTTTGTATTCTTCCCAGGAGGTTCAGCGGTCCACAGCAGATATGAACATTACGTCGGAGCACTCAAACCACCCTGACAACAAGCACAAGAACAGATACATCAACATCATGGCCTGTGAGTACACAAATCCAGGGCTATACAAATATCACACTTTATATTACACATTTTTTTCAGGGCACACTTCAAACAACACCGTAATGCATACCCATTCAGACTATGTTCTTTATTTAGTACACAAATACACTTCTGTTTTTTGTCAAACACGTTTAATGAGGTCCTTTCAAATGGATTTGTCTGTGCTTTTCTTAACAGAGTTTACATTCATGTTAGAATTTTCCCCAAGTTAAAGTTAAAACTCATTTCAGGCAATCCACAAATATCTTGTTCATTTCAAATCTATCACAACCCTGACCTAAGATTGTAACAAAATTCCAGCGTGTCTCTCTTCAGCCGAATAAATTAACACCGTAGTCTGTATTTAAACTGTTGTCAGTGCAGTTGAAGGAACAGTTATTCATGTTGCAATGGCTATTCAACACTGTATTTTTTTCCCGTTGCATACACACCTCTTTCTTGAAAGCAAGAAGAATAAATCCACAAATGCCATTTAACTAAATGAAATCAGATTAATAAATTGAATGAATTATGCAGTTTAAGCCAAAGCACTAAACAAATCGAAAATGTGTTTAATTTTTTACCAATTTTCAAAAAAAAAAGAAAAAGGAATTGACTATTTTTTGAAAAGAGCAAATTGGTTCAGCTGATTCTTGGTGTTTCCTCCTCCAATGAACCACTTTTCACTGCCAGTCGTAAATATCAAAAGCAAGCTGGACATGCTGTCATCAGTTAGTTTGTTGATGATTTGTCCAAATGATTGCAGACATGTAATTACACCAAAAATGGAAAAGATATTCTTTGTAAAAATGTATTTCTTCAATGAATGTCTTTCTAAACATTATTTCTACAACATATTTCTTCTAAACGTGACAAACAGAATGTAAGTGTTTATGGTTGTCAACTAACTGACCAACCTAGAGCAAAAAATGACCACAAACTCTCAAGCACTAAGGCACTGCACACAGTCTTGGAGCTTGACAAGGGCAGTCTGTAAAAAATATTTCATGTGTCATACAGACACTGGTGGAGGAAGTAGCTCAATCATGTTTCTGGAACCAAAACACAAAACACAAAAGTCATGTGCCACGCAAAACACAGTTTGATCATTGTTTCAATGTTAATGTGCTTCCTGTTTGGGGAGAAGTGCTTTGGTAGGGCCCCTTAGTGACATCATTACATGGATAAAGTTAGCTCCAGCCATGGTTTTAATCACAAAACACATTCACTGCTCTGTGTTTACTTCTCAGATGACCACAGCAGGGTGAAGCTAAGGCTGCTGGCTGGGAAAGACTTCAAACACACGGACTACATCAATGCCAACTATGTGGATGTAAGTGCATTCACTAGAACATCTCAAATACTGACCTGTGTCAGTTTGTGTACATAAAAAGCAGATTTTTATTTCTGTAAATTGGTTATGGTGATGATGACTGCAGAACAAGAATAAAACAATAATCAAGAAGTCTATCTTACATTGTTTTCTCTTAAAACAATAATTTTGTGATACACTGGTGCAGCTCGGGCTGGAAGGTGACTTGGTTGTTAGCACCAATGCCTCGCAGCAAGAAGGTCGCCAGTCCAAAAACATGTTGAGGTTAGTTGGTGATACTAAATAGTCCGTAGGTGTGAATGTGAGTGTGCTTGATTGTCTGTCTCTAAGTGTAGCCCTGCGATAGGTTGGCGACCTGTCCAGGGTGTCCCCTTCCTTCGCCCTAAGTCAGCTGGGATAGACTCCAGCCCCCCACAACCCTAGTGAGGATTAAGCAAAGTATAGATAATGGATGGATGGACTGGTGCAGCTCAAAAATTTGAATATAATGAAAAAATATATTTTTTTATAATTTAATTATGAAAATTAACTTTCATATATTCTAAATCCATTGCACATCATCCAGCCATCCATTTTCTATACACCACTTTAACCTCTGTAGAGTCATGGGGGAGCTGGAGTATATCCCAGCTGACATTTGGGTGAGGGCAGGGTTTTCCCTGGACAGGTCTCCAGTTTATTGCAGAGTGAGAGAGACAACCAAACACACTCACATTTACAGACAATTTAGAATCACCAATTAAGCTCAGCATGTCTTTGGACTGTGGGAGGAAGCCAGAGAACCTGGTGAGAACCCATGCAGGCACAGGGAGAACATGCTATTTTAAATACATTTTGGGAAATATTCTAAACATTTGAGATATTGGATTTCTGATGTTGATGACCAATAGGCCATAATCACTGAAATTAAAACAAGAACAGCACCTATAACTTATATATAACGCATATTGTCAGGCTAATTGTGTGTCTTTCTGTCATTCATGTATTAGGGTTATAATAAACCTAAAGCCTACATCGCAGCCCAGGGGCCTCTCAAGTCCACTTTTGATGACTTTTGGCGGATGGTGTGGGAGCAAAACACCGGTATCATTGTCATGATCACCAACTTAATGGAGAAAGGCCGGGTATGTACCAGAGCACACAAACTAGGTGGATATGTATGGATGTTTATGGCAATGTTGAAATGTTTTAGAAGTTGTTACCCTAATTTGCTGTGAGACAGTGAGATAGATATTGAGACACAGTGGGAACAAAGCAAGAAGCTCTGGCACGACACGTGAAGAGGTCCTTGGCAAGAAGAAGGCACAGCAATAGGAATGGATCTCTGCTAACACCATCCACAAACTGAATACAAGAAGAGAGAAGGAAACTACTTTGAACTCGAGTCGAACAAGAGCAGCTAAGGCAAAGGAAGAGTACACAGCAGAGGATAAAGAAGTAAAGAGGAGCATCAAAAGGACAAGAGGGACTACATCAATGACCTGGCCAGTCAAGCAGAGGCAGCAGCCGGACAGGGGAACCTGAAGAACCTGTACTGGGTGACCAAGAAGCTGACAGGTAAGTTCCAGCAGACAGACAAGCCAGTGAAGGATAAGAACAGGAACCCACTTACAACAACTGAAGTACAGTTGGAACAGTGGGCAGAACACCTTAGGGAGCTGCTGAACTCCTCCGCCCCGACGCATCAAGAAGACCATCGTGACTCTGAAAAATGGGAAGGGGAAGACTGCAGGGCCAGATGAGATACCAGCAGAAGCCATCAAAGCAGACATCGTGACAGCTGTCAACATGCTAAACAGCCTGTTCAGCAGGATCTGGGAGAAAGAGGAGGCACTGCCCCAGTGGAAAGAACGAATTATCATCAAGCTGCCAAAGAAAGGAGACCTCAGGGACTGCAGCAATTACTGAGAATTCATACTCCTGTCAACGCCAGGCAAGGTTCTCAACAGGGTCCTACTGGAGAGGATGAGGGAGGCTGTTGACCCCAGGCTCCAAGACCAGCAGGCAGGCTTCCATTGGAACAAATCCTGTGCTGACAAGATCACCAGCCAGCACGTCATTGTGGAGCAGTCACTGGAGTGGAACTCCTCCCTCTACATCAGCTTCATAGATTTTGAGAAGGCCTTCAACAGTGTAGACAGAGAGACGCTGTGGAAATTGCTGAGGCACTACGGAGTCCCTGAGAAGATTGTCTCCTTCATTCGATGCACCTACCAAGACATGAGCTGCAGAATTGCGGACCAAGATGTCACAACTAGAATCAACAAGGCAAGAGCAGGTTTTGTCATGCTCAAGAACATCTGGGCATCTAGAGGAATCAGCACGAGAACCAAACTCCACATCTTTAACTCCAATGTGAAGTCAGTTCTGCTCTACGGTTGCGAGACATACCGGACAACACTGACGATGCAACAGAAGATTCAGACATTCTTCAACACCTGTCTGAGGCATATCTACAAAATTCAATGGCAGGACAAGATCCAAAACAAAGATCTGTGGGAGCTAGCGGGACAGAAACCAGTGTCCAAGCAGATACTGCGGAGGAAGTGGAGTTAGATTGGACACACCCTTAGGAAGCCAGCATCCAGCACCACATGCCAAGCCCTGACCTGGAATCCGCAGGGGAAGAGGAAGAGAGGCCAGCCTTGTAATAGCTGGAGGCGAGACACTAAGGCAGAGCTAAAGCAACAACAGACCAATTTGGACTGAAATTGCCGGAATAGCCCAGAACAGAGTGCAATGACGAGGGGTCGTCGATGGCCTATGCTCCATGGGGGCAATGGGCTAAAAAGAAAACCCTAATTTGCTAAACTTGCCTAAAATCTGTTTGGGTGAGCAAATTCCGAGGCCGTTGTAGTATGTGTGCTCACTCACTGACATGTCAAAGTCATTAATAATTTTGTTATACCTTTGCTTTTTCTATTATTGAAAGTGAAGCAGTCAGCTATCAGAAAGGTCTATGGACCTATAAGGTCCTGGTGCTGTGCTAAGTGGTGTTTGACTTCAATGTAAGGATAATTATTAAACAATTTTTGTAAAAGAAAGGAGAGCATTATATTTTTGACAGGACTCCTTGTTTCTATGTGGGTATCCGCTAATGAGTCAAAATACTCTGAACAGTCCCAGTTGCAGGTAATAGCATTGACTATTTGTATTTGCATTCTATTTGTATATTCGAAGGTAACAGTCGTTTCTCATTGTCCACGTGCTTGATGAAAGAGAAATGAGAAATATCTTTGACAAGACCCAAACTGGCTCATATGGCTAGACAGCTAGGTTAGAGCATCTTCAAAATGACAAAGCCTGTGGGGTCAGCAGGTTCTTGAGTGTATTGTTGGCATACGTGTGATTCTAGATGATCTCCTGCTAATGTTGTGGTGCCAGAAACCATAGGACACATTCAGAGGTCTTGCAAAGTCCAGACTTTGGCTCTCCAGAGCTGTTGGTGGCATGCAAAATACCAACAGCATATTAGTCAGGTCACAGGTGGTGACCCATCAGTGTCTAATGTTCCAAATCATGAACACGTGTTTTTCAAAGACTGTGATTCCATTCAACAGTTTATAGGAATTATGAAATCAGCTATCCCATGCTCCAGTGTATGGTATAGTCATTCAAAAAAAAAAAGGAGCACCATGCTCTTCTGGAGGGCAGAAGCTTAATGCCAGGTCACCAACTACATAATCTCACTTTGGTACTCTGCTTGATGTGTTTAACACAGGAGAAAAAGACAGCAGTACAATAACAGTACTGGTGTTTGATCTGAAAAATTATAAACTGACTAAATTTCCAGTTCAACACATACTGATAAAACTGGAACACCTTATACAAATAGATGAGAATAATAATTTGGTCTGATTTAAGTGTGTGTGTGTGTGTGTGTGTGTGTGTGTGTGTGTGTGTGTGTGTGTGTGTGTGTGTGTGTGTGTGTGTGTTCTACAGAGAAAATGTGACCAGTACTGGCCAGCAGAGTACAGTGAAGAGTACGGCCACATGTTGGTCACACTCAAGAGCAGTAAAGTTCATGCCTGCTACACTGTCCGCCACTTCACAGTGCGCAACACTAAAGTCAAAAAGGTGAGAACTGAGAGGAAAAAAGTGGAATGTCCTGTCTGCAAGTTTTAGTTTAAAAAATAAAAAAGTGACATTGTGATATTGAATGATCTGGTTTCCACTTTTACACTGAGAATCATTTTGGACCAAATTAAATTAGATCTTGTATATGTTAACATTAGAATAAAGACTAATGCTAAAAAGACTAAGTAAAGACAGTGATATTCACTGACTTACATGATTGTTGTTTCCTTTTAACTGCTGCTTTTGTAGTCTGAAATTACTTAAAGACACTAAACAGTATATTATACCACTTCAGTCTTGATCTACTACTTTCATTTTTGGGTAAATGCAAAAATGTAAGCAAATATTTAAAGCTGAAAAGTTTGTGTCAATTATGCATTCTTTGTCCTTATTCCTTAATACTTTTAAAAATCATATTGTCTTTATAATTCCCCACCCCAACAAACATCCTCTATTCCATCCTGGGCGGGAAGGGGAACTCGAAGGCACGGGCTCAGAGTGAACGGACAGTACTCCAGTATCATTACACCCAATGGCCAGACATGGGTGTCCCAGAATATACACTGCCTGTCCTTGCGTTTGTACGCAAGTCCTCGGCCGCCCAGATGCCTGACATGGGACCCTTGCTTGTCCACTGCAGGTAATGTTTCTATGCTCTTTTCTTTTTACTGTAACTGCCTTGATCACTGAGTTTCTCAGCCAACTGTTACCTAGAATGTGTTGTACTGAGTTGTCTGTAAACACTGCTTTTTTTTTTGTTTGTTTGTTTGATTTTACACACCATTATATCAGCTTTTTATAATGACCAGGAACCATTGGTTAGGTGGAGGATAATATGTGTAAAGACATTAAGATTTTGTTTTGTGTACTTTTGTACACTTAAATCATACAAAAGATCATTTTGGTTAAACAAAGGCAACAAATTCGTCACTTTACGCATTTCTTATTGCCCTTCCAAATATAGAAAGTTCTACAATTGTATTCAATTCTTTGTATCTTTTGGGCACCTTTAACTTTGTGTATTTTTAACATGTAAAGATACTTTTACTAAAACTGCATATCTAAACATTATCAGTGAATCTGCCATCACAGTTGCTAGCATTTTATAATAAAGTGGTCAGGGAAATAACTGGTGATTATCCACTGACTGTTGCCCTGGGGGAATAAGAAAGAAGCTCTTTGCTATGATCTGCATCGTGATGGTCAATAATAACTTGTCACACTGCCTCGGTGCTGTGACTGCAGATACACCACAACAGGAAACTTAAGGTCCTAAATTTGTAAGTTCAAAATAGATGTTAATTGTATCAGTGGCTGTGCTGTCAACTGAAACTGTTCAACAACACTTCTCTGTTCCCTCGACTGTCTGTAATCTCTGCTTAAATTACCCAACTCTGAACAGGTAAAACTGTTGTCATAACATGCAATCAAACATTTTCTACACTTTCTAAATTGGTCAGTGCTCCCAAGTTTTACTTCTGCATTAAATGATAGTTAGATTTGTTTTGTGGTCACAAAATTGTTTTGTTTTTTTACAACAACCTTACATAGGATGGGAGCAAAAGGCACAATTTTCTTACTAAGTGTAAAGATGACAAATCATTCTGTCTCTGTTTAGCTACAGTTGAATACAGATCCCAAAAGTTGTGGTATCCCGCCACCACAGCTGCGGGATAATGTCTCAGAAAAGATATCCACTTTATTAGATTAAGTTTTAAATCCTGATATTAGCTCCATATAAGTGTTTAAATATAATGACTGAAGGTTGTTCCTCCCATCACATCTGTTGGAATGCCCTGGGAAAGGATCTTTGATCATGGACAATATGAAAAACAAGTAACAACTGCTTCCTTGTTAATATGGGTCCCTGACTACTGTTTTAAGCCAGTGATGGAAACATGTTAATAAATCCTTGAAGATACCAACTAAGTAACTGCTATATATTTGTCCAGCTCTGACTCTATTCTTTCCAAGCATGCCCTGCTGTTCCTCAGAGTTACTGTGTTGTGTTGCAGTGCTGGTGTGGGGCGGACAGGGACATACATCGTCATAGACAGCATGCTGCAGCAGATCAAAGACAAGAGCACAGTTAATGTACTTGCTTTCCTCAAACATATACGCACCCAGCGCAACTACCTAGTCCAAACTGAGGTTTGTATATTTGTGTCTATGTGTAAACCATGTGTTTGTAAGAGTCTTGCACGCATTCACTGCATGATTGTTTCCTGTGGTGGGTTTAGCATGAACATTTTGTCATCATTTAGGCCTCATTTAGGCAAGCATGTGATGACATGTATGGATCAGGTAAGATGGGCCCAACATTCCTGTCAACACTGAGGTATGACAATGTCTTGGCAATCAGACTATTACATTTTGCAACATGTTTTGTTTTAGTGAAAGTTTTAGGATAATGTCAGAAGACAAAAGGCAAGGAATCAGTATAATTTACAGAGTGAGGACCATAAAAACATTAACAAGGATCATGGGAACTTTACACTCAGCAAGTTACAATAATATGGACTGAGGCACAACAAGAGAGGTCGTTTAAAAATTGCAAACAGATTATTTGGAAAGTATGACAGATGAGATTTTGTGTTACTGAGAGTTAATTAAATGTAAAAGGAAAATCAGGGGTTTAAGTGGAAATGTTTCCCCAAAGATGGCAATAGAGTAAAGATCATGGTGAATTTGTTCTCTAGAATCCATAAAAATCCACATGGTCCGAGTCATGTACATACAGAATAGTATCTCATTATAACTCTCTAAGCATAATATATTCACAGTCAGTAGTTGTAGTAGTGGGGCTGCAAGGTGGCGCAGTTGTTGCCTTGCAGCAAGAAGGTTGCCAGTTCGCATCCTGGTGGCATGGGTCCCACTGGAGTCTTTCTGTGTGGAGTTTGCATGTTCTCCCCGTGCAGCGTGGGTTCTCTCCAGGTTCTCCGGCTTCCTCCCACA